ATAGCTTGGCGTTCGTCTCAAATCCGCACCGCAGCGAAGATGATGTTGCTGGAGCGCGACGCGACGGACAAGGTGCGGAGGGCGCTGCTACGACAGGCGCCGACGGTCGTCGGAGATCTGCGCCCAGGATCGAGGGTGTATTTCTGGGCACCGAATCCGTTCAAGGGACGTCGTCGGCAAGATCCTGAAAGATGGCGGGGTCCTGCGACTGTGATCGCGAAGGAATCCAATAGCCGGTACTACGTATCATGGCGTGGTCACGTGCTACTTGTTGCTCGTGAGCAGCTCCGGCGCACCTCCTCCCAGGAGGCCGCAGCTGCGGAGTCCATCCAGACGGACGTGCGGCTGACACAGCAGCGAGATGATCGCGCCTACCACGACATCGTGGACGTCACGCCCAAGGTGAAGGTTCAGAAGGTGAAGAAGACATTCTTGAAGAAGGAGCGTGACCGACATAGGGAGCTCGAGGGGTCCAGGCAGCCTCGGGTGGACCTGAGGGCCCTGGACGCCATCGAGGCACAGGCTAAGGAGGAGGAGCCGCCTGAGCAGCAGCAGCTGCCGCAGCTCCCCCCTCCGAGGAGGGCGCGGTCTCGTTCTCCTCCAGGCCGGATATCCTCTGAGACGTACCCGAAGGCTTCTCCGGGAGCATCGGGCTCTGGCGGCCCTTCGGTGCCGCCGATTCCCAGAGACGATTTCGAGCTTGAGCGCAAGCGGAAGTTCCTAGTAGATGACGTGCCGAGTTGCATCCTGAAGACGCGTCTGCAGGCTGCTCCTACGAGTAGTTCGCCGGCCCTCCGTGAGGTGGCCATGAGCGCTGTTGTGCACTCGGGACCCCAGGAGTGGTTCGACCAGACTGCCTTGGATGGCGTCTCCACGCTCGTTCAGAAGGTCGCACGAGGAGTACGCGTGCATCGAGAGCCACGGCGGAGACTCTATGATCACGACCGCCACCGGGAGTGCAATCGCCTGTCGGTGATGCTCTCCGCCACGGGCCAGTGTGCCTACAAGGACGACGGCGCGAGCCGTGCCAACGAGCGCACGGAGGACAGCTGGGTTGGTCTCACGCTTTTCTACCACGGCAAGCCGGACGCTCAGGCACAAGGGGTGTGCTATTTGGACACTCCGGAGGGTCTTGTACGGCAGCCGATGACTTACGAGGAATGGATCAACGTGTCATCTGTGTATGACGCATGGCTGCAGGAGGCCCGGTACGAGCACGACGTGTTCGCACTCGTGATGAAGCAGAACGCGAAGGAGTTAGACCCACGTCACTTCAACCAGCACGAGAAGGCTAAGTTCGACGAGGCCGATGCCGCCGAGTGGCGGCAATGGATCGCCAACAACACGGTCGAGCTGGTCACCGAGGAGGAGGAGAAGAGCATCCCAAAGGACAAGATCATCTCGGTGCCCATGCGTTCGGTTCGCACGAACCGAGGGCGAGGGCTGGAGCTGGAGGCGAAGTCGCGCTTGATCATCCCTGGCCATCTCGACCCGCAGCTTGGTCTATTCAGGACGGATTCGCCTACTACTTCCCCTTTGGCTGTGCTGGTGTGTGCGTCTATCGCAATGGCGATGGATTGGACATTCGAGTGCTTCGACGTAGCGACTGCGTTCCTGTCCAGGCTGAAGCTGGAACGGGAGCTGTATGTGAGGGCTCCTAAGGACGGGCTTCCAGCCGTCGACGGTGCTGGATGGCCAGCCGTGCGACCTTATGCGTTGCTTCGCTTGCTGAAAGGGGCGTACGGTTTGACGGAGGCGCCTCGGTTGTGGTATCTCCGAGCCCGCCAGGTGCTGACGGACGAGGTCGGCTTCGTGGAGCTGCGCTGTGCTCGAGCTGTCTTCGTTTATCGGATGAACGATAAGTTGATTGCTATGTTGACCTTGCACGTCGACGACGGCATGCTGTTTGGAGACCCGCATGACCCCCAGTACCAGGAGGTGAAGGCGAACATCAACAGTCGTTTCAACATCAAGCACTGGAAGGAAGGCAACGACAAGGAGGCAGTCGCCTATCTCGGTGAGGAGTGGTGGCGCCACCCCGATCACATCGAGATCAGCATGCACGAATGCATCGGCAAGCTGACAAAGAACCCCTTTCAAGGGGTGACGACGAGGAGCGGGAGATGACTCCCGAAGAGCACCACGACTTCCGGAGCCTGCTCCAGAAGGTGCGGTGGCCTGTCGCACGCGTGGTGCCCCAGCTCGCGTATAGTGTCTCGGCGCTCGCACAGAAGGACCCGAAAGGTCGGAGGTTACTGCGCCTGCGAGTGCTTAATGACATCATCGACCGGCTCCAGGACTACGACAAGAGAGGTCTTGCGACTCTCCGGATCCGCCGCGTGGACATCGAGCGCTTGCAGGTGCTCACGCTTATGGACGCTTCGTTTGCGAAGGAACCCGGCTGTAAGAGCCAGATGGGGTTCATGAGTATGATTACGGATACCCGAGTGTTGAAGGAGCTAGTTGTATGTTGTCTAGTGTAGTTTCAGAGCAGTACTATTACACGAGTTGTTGGATCTACGATGGCCGCAGAGTCTGCGGCTATGTCCGTGGCTTTGCATCGGCAGCTGTACCTCAGGCTGCTGATTGAGGCAATCTTGCACGGGGAGCCGCCCTTGCAAGGGGACTGGAGGCTGGCGCTGAAGGTTCCGGGGGCGCTGGTGACGGACGCGAAGTCGCTCTACGATCGCACGTCCAAGATCGGCTCGATGCCGGTGTCTCGGCAGACCCTCATTGACTTGTTGGTGGCCAAGGATGTGATAGAGCAGGAGGCCATCAAGTTCAAGTGGCTGCCTAATAGCCACATGCTAGCGGACGTGCTGACAAAGGCCGTGCAGCCTAACGAGGTGCTATCGCAGTTCCTCCGCCACGGACTGCTCAGCATGGTGCCTACCGCTGAGCAAGAGGATGAGGAGGCACACCGTCTGCGGCTGCGCCGCGGACAGCGTGAGAGAGCCAAGGAGCGGAAGGCCCAGCGTCGGGTCGCCGTTCCAGGGCCTGCGAGCCCGTGAGGTCCTGATTGCAGTTGCTGATGGACCTAGTGAAGGGCTACGGTGATGTATGCATATCCTTTTGAGTTGATAGTCTGGAATAGTGGATCCAGACATTCATATCCTTATATTTATATTTTGGGCCTCAGGCCGCACTTTGCTTGAGGTGTTTCATGCATATCTTTCGAGTTGACAGTCTGGATTAGTGAATCTAGACATTCATATTTTATATGTATATCTTGAGCCTCAGGCCGCATTTGCTTGAGGTGTCTCGGCCTGTGGGCTGACATACCTTATAGTTGCGTGCAGCGTTTCCCTTTCGAAGGGAGCGGCTTCGGGGCAGCCTTGTACTCACCCAGTGTGAAGAGTGCACTCCCCTGCCCCTCTGCCGCCCGTGCCACCGTGTGTGTATGATGTACGCGCTTGTCTTGTTTTGTGGCATGCACGCTGCCCGCCGCTGTTTTGGCCCTAGTCCTAGGGCCCTGGGACGCACCCGCAGTTTTGACTGCCGCGCAGTCCGAGCTAAAAGAACTGCACTGACAGAATGGACGTCCGAGCGATGGCGAAATCGCCCCGTCAGACCTGTGGCTGGGCGTTCCCGCCACGCCCGGCCGCGTGCGCCAGCTGGGGCCGCTCCCTCTCGTCCCGCCTCCCGCCCTGGTCGTCCCCGCCAGGCTTACCAGCCTGGAACATAGCCTTATCCCTATGCTGGGCACCTCCTCATCACGATGCCAATCTCAGGGATTCCCTTACGTTTTGAGGGCGCATCCCTAAGATTGGCATCGCCTTTTGGCGTGTCAATCTTAGGGATAGGGATACGTTCGATGCTGGTAACAGGCCTCTGGCGGCGCGTGGGGGCTCCTAGCCGCCCACGCCAGATCTGCACGTGGCCCCCCTGGCGGCCATCGGCGGCTGCCCTCCGCGGCGCCGCAGCCATCGACCTGCTGCGGTCTTGCAGCCCAGCCCTTCAAGCAGTGGCGAAGCGTCCTGGCGTGCCTATACGGCCACCAAACATACTCGGCCGATATTGTATTGTTTCAACACATCGGGCTTATTTTCGCAGTTGTTTGGTTCTTAGGACATATTTGGGTTCTAAGAACATGTCGTGGTAGGCCTACAGATGTCGGGACGGTCGGTCCCTGCTGCTCAAGTCTTAGCAGGTCAGTTCGGAGGCTAGCAGCACTTTGCTGTCGCGAGCAACTCGCTGGCCAGCCCCTCGGTTTAGGCTTCCTTGCACCACGCAACCAATCTGACCCCACTCCTGAGTAGCGAAGCTTCCTGGCGTCAGTTTGTCCGCACAGCGAAGGTGTCAGCATAGCGCAGCGCTGTACATCTGTATTGTATAATCAATGTTGCAGATTTTCCCATCCAGTGTCCTACGCACCTCCGGGTGTATGACTTCTTGCTTGCTTGCTTGCACCACGCAGCCGCTGTGCGCTGGAATACGTGGCAGCATGGCCTTTTGACGAACACCTGGGTGCTTTCCTCACTCGCTCGCTACTCCACCCTGCACTGGTTGACACGTTCTACGGCTTCAACGCCTGCAGCCCCTGCCTCAGTTGATGGTCGTGGACCCCACGCCGGTCCACGTCCACCCACAGGGCGCCTCAGCAACAGCCCGCCGCACCGGCCACTCATGCCACAGACCTTCGTGCTGTGGGCTTGGCATCGCTCGGACGTGTGCATGTTTCCCTTCGGCGAGGACCATCGAGGAGCATCCTTGATCATTTGGCGAAACAACCACGCACGAAATCGAAAAAAACACAGGGAATGGACGTCCGAGCGATGGCCAGAATCGAAAAAAAAACAGGGAATGGACGTCCGAGCGATGGCCAGTGAGTGCCCTCCCCCCCTCTTCCTGCTGCGCGGCCGCCCTGTGCCCCGTCTCTTCCTCTTGCGGCCGGACGCTCTGCACGCTCCGTCCCAGCTGCCAGAGCACGCGACGGAAGAGTTCCACGCTGTAGCGACACGACAGAGAGCGAGAGAGAGAGAGAGAGAGAGGGCGCCCAGGAGAAGGTTTGGCCGAATTTCAAGAACGGTTTCGAGAAGATGATCCGCAGCAGCATCGAGGGCGCCAGGCAAGGCCTCCCGGGGCCCCTGAAGGGCCTCCGGCTGGTCCAGTGCTCGTTTGGCGACGCCACGGGGCAGTCGCCGTCCTCGTCGCCTCCGTCGACGTCGCTTTCGCAGTCGTCGTCGTCCTTCTCCGCTTCCCTCCTCCCCCCGTCCTCCTCCGATTCCTTCCTCCCCCCCTCGTTCCTCATGGGTTCCTGCCCGCGCGTCGGGGGAGGGAGGGGGACGAGGAGGAGGAACAGGAGGAGGTGGACGAGGAGGAGGAAGAGGTGGTGGTGGGCCAGCGTGTGGGCACTCTTGTTGTCTGCGGCTGGTAGGGCACGGCTGAGACCCGACCCAAACAGCCAACCGAACATTCTGTCGTGCGCAATCGACCTAGAGGAAGTGCAGCGGCGCAACGCATGGTCGATTTGACCATCATGCGCTACCATTTTGGAAGCAAGCCGTGTTGGGTTTCGACGGGGGAGGAAAATGGAGGATTCGGACGCCCGAGATGGGTACGGACAAACACGGGCAGGATGCCCAAGAGCGAGTGTTGTTCAAACGGGCAGTGGCCGTTGTTGGGCATGCGACTGTTGTCTCAAACGGACAACGCCCGCAGCGACCCCGGCAACGAGTCTTGTTCAGAATGAACAGGAATTGCTGGTGGTCTTCGTCATATTTTTTTCGTATCCATTCCGATCGTGCCAAGAGGAGGGTGGACAAAGGAGCATGGACCATGGATTGGCTTGCCTCCAGAGAGGCAGGTCCGAGAAGAGAAGGAATGAAACAAACATTGTGCAACAAGCGTGGGATAAGGGGAAGCATAGGAGCGAATGCGCCCGAGCGTGAACACATGCAGGCAACGTGGCCAGCCCAGTGTGAACATGCCCAGCATGCAGCAACACAAGGTGTGTGTTTTTCCTCCCAGTCGCCAACGTAGACTTGGCGAACACAGCATCACATCGAGACCAAGTCGTGCCCTTAACGTGTTCGGACGGGTGAATATATTGTTCATGGACGGTTCGGGGCCATCTGTTCGCGAACCACGGCCGCTCGTCTGAGGGGAGAGAGATGTTTACGATTAAGTCGGGCATGATGGCCTGTCAGCAGAGTGTGGCGCTGTAGCAAAAGCAGAATACTCAAAGGACTGAAGATCTCTTGGCGGGCGCATTTAACGGTGGGTGGAAAGTGTCCACACCCATCGCGCCAAGATGAATAGACATCGAATTGCGTCGAACAAATCTCCATAGCCCCCGCCCCCCAAACCCAATGTTGACAGGGTTGGATTTGGGTTTGGGGGTGAGGGGGGGCGAGCCACATGTATATTGCAGTTGCCGTTGCCATCATGCCTGATTGTCTTCACACCGTCGGCATGGGCACTTCTTGTCCGGGCGCAGACGCAAGTACAGTTAAACAGTTCCGGTCGGGCAGAGGAGAGCACAGCGGCACAGTGAGAGCGACGGGCGCGGTCCCGGTGCGACGTTGGCCAGGTCTGCCGCCGCTTTCCACAGCAAAGAGCATGGGAGCCGCGCTCGAGAGACGGATGCACCTGATAGGGGGGCACAGCTATGTTCGGCACCCTGATGAAAAGCGGCACGCAGACGAGAGCGGCGGAGAAGCCCAATCTTCGCGCTAAGACGGGGCGAGGGAGGTAGACTGAACCTTTCTCCTGATGCCTGGTGTCAAGTCGGGCATGTCCCTCTACAGGAGGAGTAGTCAAAAATAGTCTAAAATCGTCTGGGGACGATTTTCTGCTATTTTTGACAATTCTTGAATCTGTTTTTGCATTTTAAAAGCTTCACCCCAAAACCGCCTGCAGGAGGACATGGCCGACCTAAGCCTGGTGGCCAAGAAGATGGCGGAGAGAAGGCCGTGCAGCCGCAAAAGCACGCGGGTGGATGTACGGCGAGCGTCTTGCTCGTTGGCGGCCTGGCCGGCGGCGCCTCGCACGTGAGGTGCGTTGCCGAGTGCACCAGTGCCCATCGGTCGTTGAAAGAAGGTATGTTTGGAGTCCCCGATTCCCATCTGCTTCAGGCGCCTTCCTGCTTCCAGGATCGAGTGGCTTTCTTCCGTCCTCCCATGGGAGGCGGGTGGAGGCCCGATCTGTTGCTAATGCCTTCCTGCTTCATGCCTCCACCTGCTTCTTCCGACCGATGGGTAAGCCTGGCTGGGCTCACGTGGGGTTTGGGCCCTACTTACCAGTTTGAAGCATATCCCTATCCCTGTGTTGGGCACCGCGTAGCCAAGCCAAATCGTCGAGCAGCATTTCTAGCATCGTCCTGAGTCTGGCTTCGTGGCCAGAGGCTTCACACCACCCTGCTGCGAGCAGGACAAAGAGGCAACTCTTGGCCCTGTGTGGTAAAGGGAGCCTGGCAACCTGAGCCTGGCATCACGCAAAGCCACTGAAGGGAGGGGGTGTCGTAACCACACTGGCACCAAAGCGTCCGAAGCTCGTGAGCCTTCTTCCTGAAACCGCACTCGTGCTGCAGTCCGGTATTCCCTCATTACTTCTTTGCGCCTCAGCTTGTGATCGCCTTGTGTCAAGCATGGCCGCGCACCTGCACTGTTCAGCCGTTCCTGCAACGCCAGGCTGTCCGCCAGTGCCGACCTTTTTTTACGCATCGAGCCCGCCCGTGGCACGCACACGTGAGGAGGCAGAGGCCGAGGCCCTGCACCGAGTCTCCGGCGCCACGGCCACAGGCCGTCGAGTGCCGAACCCGAGTGTGCACGGTGGTGCACGGTGGGTGCGCACCTGACCCAGGCCTTTGTGAGCCCCGGAAACGGCAGGGCCGTTTTTCCACCGTTTCCAAAAAAATGTCCCTTGCAAATGGAAACGGCAAAAAAACGGCGACCGGAAACGGTAAAAAACAGCTCCAGGATTGGAACCGGAGCCGGAACCGGTCAAAAAACGGAGACGGAACCAGTAAAAAGCGGCGTCGGAACCGGCAAAAAAACGGCAAAACGGATCCGGTAACAAAAACAGCCCTGTCGTTTCCAGGGCCCACTAAGACCCAGGCCCTATCGGCACTGCGCCACAGCTAACCTGACCCATTGAAGCCGACGTGGCCAACGGCTCGGAGTCACCAGTGCGTCACGCGCGCGCGCGCGCTGTACAGTCGGGGCCCTGAAGAAGGAACCCTTTTCGTTCAGGAGGGGCTCCGTGTTCCTTAAGTGTTTCACAGCTTGCCTCAGGTGTTCCTTCTGTTTCCGATGGGAAATCGAAGTTTAACTTATGGAAAAAACGGGGCCTCGTTCCTTATTTAGGGTTCCTTAGGTCAACGCCCCGACTGTAGCAAGTGGCGCACCACAATCTGACGACACGGCAACACGCAATGCTGCACGGTGGGTGCGCTGGCATGCGCGGGCGTGGCTGGCGCGTGCGTCCACCGTAGCGCGTGCCGCGCGGCCTGCTGGGCGCCCCTCGTGCCGGCTCCTCGCCGCACGATGAGCGGTGCGGTCTTCGTGGGTCCCGCGTTGATCAGGAGGGAAAGACACACACAGACACAATTAATCGTCGACTCCCAGGAAAATATGAGAAAACATGGGATGTGGGGGGGAAGACAAAATGCCCAGAAAATATTGGAAAATATGGGGGATATTTTTATTTGTGTGTATTTACTTGTGTGTCCCAGTTCCCCTTCATTCGTGGGTCCCGCGTTGAGCAAGTGCCCCTTGGCAGCAGCCGCGTCCGTCACAGACCCCAAGGTACGACTGCGAGCTGGGCAGATCGAGGGGGCAGACATCCCGACGTAGGGTGGGGGCCAGATCGACTGGCCTCGCTCGGACGTGTGCATTTTTCCTCCGGCGAGGACCATCGAGGAGCATCCTTGATCATTCGGCGAAAAAACCACGCACGAAACCGAACAAAAACACAGGGAATGGACGTCCGAGCGATGGCCAGAGGTAGAGTCCCCCTCCGGGACGTCGGTTTCGGTTTCGGGTTCGTGTCGTGCGTGCGGGTGGTGCGAAGCTGCGTGGGTGGGCGAGGGGAACAAACCCTTCTCTGGCTAGGGCGCGGCGAGGTCATAAGTCCGCCCCCCCTCGGCCGCTTGGCGGGTGGTGGCAGCGGGGGTGTCCCGCCGTGGTGTCCCGATGGTGTCCCGTGGGGTCCCGTCGGAATCCCGTCGCTATGAGATCGATCGAGAGATCGATCGTGATATCGATAGTGAGATCGATAGTGAAACGGATAGTGAGATTGATAGCAGGATCAATAGTGATATCGATCGTGGGATCTACGGGGAGATCGACAGTGAGACCTATCGTATGATCGATAGTTGAAACGATTGTGGGAACGATAGGGAGATCGGTAGTGGGATCGATAGTGAGATCGATTGAGTGAATCGTTGGTCCACCCCCCCGAAACTCCTTATCACCCGAAGGATGGTCGTAATGAAAGGTTGTGCCGTCATTTCATCTGCATATGCCACGTCAACCAGCAGTATGGCACCATCATCGCAGGGGTTGTCAGCTTGCATGTTGCCACTGGAGAGGGCGGTTAACCCACGTGGGGTGTGGGCGGCACTGCGAAGGGGCACGGCTTCAGCTTCCAGCGCCGAGCGTGAGTTGTTCATGCAGTCGGCCATTTGTATTTCGGAGAGTACGTCTGCTAGAGGTACTCTTGGAAAGAGCGGTTTTTGTGGGAGCGATATTTGGCCAGAAGTTTCATATACGAACCGTAGGGCCTGATGGCACTGCGAGACCTGCTGCACTCCTTCTTTGCGCCAGTACATGCATGGTACCAGCGGTTAACCCGGCAGCACGTACGATGGTAGCGGTTGAAAGGTTATCAAGTTGAGTGTGCACGACTAGCTGACGTATGGCACGATCGAGTGTTTCCGCGACGTCCATGAGTATCATTCCGAAGATAAGCCGTCGAGTCTTGAACAGCGCCTGTGTCGGTCGAACCGCTAGCGAAGCGTGCGCCGCACCTCGTCCAGGCAGGCCTCCAAATTCCCCCCCCGGCCTCCGCAGCAAGATGTGGTAAACGTTCGTCTCTGAGAAAATGTCCAGAGGCCGCGCCGAGCTGCGATGCAGGACAGCTGCACTAGTATCGATCGTGAGTTTGCACACTGTGCTGGATCAGCCTGGCCTGATTTGATGAGGTCTCGACAGAACATACCTTTCCAATGCAGAGACTCATGAGTGCAAGTGAGCACTCAAATTGCAGATCGCAGTTGGATTCCGCAATGACGGTAGCGTGTGCCCGAACGAGGCGTTTTGAAGCACCGTCGCAAATGGTTGTTGACTTGCTGGCTTGTCGGAAAGACAAGTCGTAGTCGTTCAGTGCAGCAATAGAGTCGAGAGTTGCGGGTTTGGAGGTCATCCGATCATACGGACTTCTGCCAACGTAACCAGAGAAAGTGCTCACGTCAGATACTGATATCGTGGTTGATAGGGTAGTTCCAATCCAGCAAAGTGTTGCTGCCACCTGCGCGCGATCTGTACTGCTGACACAATAGATCTGCCTTCTAGACCATGTAGGATGGAGAAGGGAGGGATAGGGAGGGGGAGGAGGACACGGCCGCCGAAGGAGTCTCAAGATGCCCCAGAGAAGGCCCAACACGGAACACGGATTCTTCAATGTTTTGGGATTCTGCATGCGGGCCGTCTCCCAGGCTTGGGAGGCCGTCAAGGAGCAGCCCCGCCCGGACCCTTTGGGACCCTTTGGATTGTCAGGGGGAACGTTAAGTTAGTGGGGATAGACTGGGGGAACGCATCCACCCCCAATCGCCCGTTCATCGCCGACGGGGGCTCGATAGCCCCCTCCGCCCAAGACAGGGCGGACCCGCTACCGGGGGCATATTATCGCCGATCCATCGGCGTTGTGTCGCCGACTCCAGCTCGATGTCCCCCCCCCCCCTGAGCCAGTCCCCACCATAACGTTTCCCCTTCACAGGGGCTCGGCATCGCTCGGACGTGTGCATGTTTCCTTCGGCGAGGACCATCGAGGAGCATCCTTGATCATTTGGCGAAGAAGCCACGCGCGAAACCGAAACAAAAAGCACAGGGAATGGACGCCCGGGCGATGCCCAGAAGGGGCCCCTGGCCCGAGAGGACCGCGGCGTCGGCGCACGAGGGGGGGCGGCCAGGCGACGCCTACCCGCGGTTCGGCCCGATCTGCGCGAGCTCGGCGAAGGACGAGGAGCGCAGCTCTCGCCCCCCCGGCGTGCGGGGTGGGCCTGTGGCTCGGTCGGCCTCCAGGGTGCTCGGCAGGTCTCCTGCTCCTCCTCCTCCTCCTCCTCCTCCTCCTCCTCCTCCCCCTCCTCCTCCTCTTCCTCCTCCTCCTCCTCCTCGTGGCCTAGCTTGGGTCCTAGGTGGGTCTGTGGTTCGGTCGGGCTCCAGGGGGGCGGGGTGCTTGGCAGGTCTCCGGCTTCACTTCAGAGTCGCCGTGCCGCTGCAACTACGGTGGAGGGAAACAATATTACTGAACTTTCCCCTTCCCCCCAAGACTCAAGGTTGGCACGCGCGGGGGAGACGGCGGTCGAGGTGCAAGTCATCAGACCCACCGCCACAACATTGGGGGGAGGGGGAGGAGGTGACAGATGAATGTGGCATGAGTGTTCGCTATTGTTTCCGAGGCCTGTAACGAGTCCCCATAGACAACGCACGTCTCGACGGAAAGGGCATTACCTCGACGGAGAGTGTACCATCGCGCTGAACATTCACGCTTTCCCGACGGAAAGCACACCAATTTGGTGATGCATTGAGGATTGTTGTATGAGTTCTTGAGTTGTTCGATCGTGATCGGTTGTTACCTCATGCGGTGACAGGAGCAACGCAAAGTTCGGCGCACCTGTCATCTTGTGCACCGATTGGCGCAACCCATCGCACAACCTACGGCCATGATCGTGAAGATCTGGCCATGGTCAGTCGAGGTCCGAAGCTCCTCCTCGACGCTCGTGCTGATGCTGCGCGTGGCCGGTCCCCCTTCGGAGTCACGCGCCATAGTCAGGGACTTCTTTCGGCATGGTGCCCGTGCTCTGGTGCGCCCTCGCCAACAGCTGCACCTTGGCATCGCTCGGACGGGAGCATTTTTCCTTCGGCGAGGGCCATCGAGGAGCATCCTTGATCATGTGGCGAAACAGCACCACGCACGAAACCGAACAAAAACACAGGGAATGGACGTCCGAGCGATGGCGAGTGGCCTGCCTCACCCCTCGGGGCTCAGGAGACGGGGGCGAAGGCAGCCGGTCAGAGCCCCGAGTCATCAGCTTTTTTTCGGGCGGTCAGGGATGTAGACGACACAGGTTCGCGCCTCGGGGGCCCAGACCGCAGTCATATCCTGGACCGCGGTCGTCTCGGATGATTCGGGCGCTCCGCCCTCCCGAATCATCATCATGGCTGGGAGCAGTCGGGGGTATAGCTACAGATTCGCGCCTCGGGGGCCCAAACTGGAGTTTCCCCAGACACCAGTTATCCTTGATAAGTCGGGCGTCCAAAATGGGGGTCAGTCCGAGCGCCCGATGTTATGTTACCTAGATCGAATAACTAGGCTTATTCAGAGAATGTATGTAATCTCCGTGCACCAGGTGATCTCACTTATTTCAAGTTTCTCATTTTCGAAAGTACTTGAATTACTAATGTTTTCGCAGATTGCTAAAATCTGGGCTGTGGGGAAGGACAACTGCATGACATTTACAGTATTCCAGTAAGTCCAAGGGTTAAGGTAAGTCAAACAACTTAGACAAGTTTTGTTGTTTCAATTGTTTTATTCGTTTCGGTTTAAACCTGAGGCGTGAATGAACAGAAGTTTCGAACATTTAGAAAAGTGTAAATTCTCTTGGGGAAGATACAGACAGCTTCAATAACTCAAACAAGTTGAAAACATGCTGCACACATCTACATCATTCCGTTCGGCAGTCGCGTTATTATTTGCAGTGTACGTGGCGTGTACCTATCGAACAGATTTGTACCTCACATACATATATACATACGTACATTTAAGTAGAGGTGTTGACATATGTATATACATTACATATAGATGTGTATATATTCATATATGTGTGTGCGTGTACGGCCCGCGCCATCGCCTTCACGATGGCGCAGTATAGTCCAGGTTGGCGCAATATTGCCTCCAGTCCTGCCTCCTGGAGCCTCGAGAGACGGCCCCGATCGTCCCAGGCCAGGACGAGGATAACTCCGATGCGGAGCGAGCAGGCCGCGGCGCCCGAGACCTCCCCGGGAGCCGCCAGACTTCAGAGCCCCTCGACTCACCGCCGTCTTGGCTTCGTCTTGCCCGAGGCTGCTCCCAGGAGGAGAAGGAAGCGGAGGAGGAGGAGGAAGAGGAGGAGGAGAGGAGGAGGAGAGGAGGAGGAGGAGGAGGAGGAGAGGAGGAGGAGGAGGGAGGAGGAGAGAACGAGGAGAGGAGGAGGAGAGGAGGAGGAGGAGGAGTAGGAGGAGGAGGAGGGACGCCGGGGCCGCACCTCCCGAGGAGGTGCAGCTGGACATCGGCCTGTCCTACTCCACCGAGACCAGCATCGTGCTCGAGGCGGCGCGCCCGCTTCGGCCCCCGCGGGCACGCCGCCTCGCCAGCGCACCCCTTTCGGGGGAGCGCAGGGGGCCATTCCTCTGACCTTTTCATTTTTCGTCCACAATCCCCCTGTAGGAGGACATGCCCGACTTAATCACAGAGGCCTCCGTGAGGGGTCCGAGCAGACGGGGTCGTAGCATCACGCCGCCTCGGCGACGTCGGCGATGCCTCGCCGACGTCGGCGCGGAGAAAGTCGGGGCCCGCGTCGAGCCGCGATGCGCCGATGCATCGGCGATGCGGCGCGACCCCCCGACCCCATCTGCCATCGGGGCGTCGTGCAGCGAGACAAAGACACGTCGGGCGCTCGCAGACGTCTCCGCGCGGTCGCGCATCGCCCTCCCGCTTCGGTCCCCGGACCCTCTCAAGGATCGCTTCGACCCGAGGGGTCTTCATCAAAGGTTAGGTTGCGGGAGTTCTGGCCGTTCTTCTTTGTGCCAAGCATCGCTACGTGTTCGCGACGTCGAGATTTGGCCGTGTGGAAGAGCTGTGGTTGACACAGGTTGTTGGCTACAGTGTTGGCGACGGGGGCAAGGAGGGCGAAGACGAGGAGGCACCAGGTCAAGCGTGGGGGCTGGCGAGTTTCGCACCAGGTGGGGTACCTGGCCTTCGGCATCAACCACCTGAAAATAGGAGGTATGCTGAGCATGAAGTTCACCCCCCTCCTAGAGGAGGTGCCTGTCTTCAGCGCGATGCAGCTGTTCTTCCTCAACTCTCCCGAGATCGACATCCGTTTCACCAACGTCTTAGAGGTCCGCATCTGTCACGGTGGGATCAGACTACAGACTTTGCGCGTCTGTCCATCGCCGATTTGGGTCACGGGGGGGCCGATGAGGACACGGACTCATCACCATGCTTGGCATGTTTCTGAGGAGGGATCAGGAGGAAGAGGAGGAGGAGGAGGAGGAGGAGGAGGAGGAGGAGGAGGAGTGGCGTGTACTCGAGGCGATGCTTCGAATCGATTCGATGGCTGGACAAGGGGGAGACAGGCCAAAACGATGACTTCCGGAGGCTTGTATGCCGAGGAGGATTTTTAATGATAGGGCGAGTACGGATGGGGATAAAGGCATGCAGTTAGCGGAGGTTGCTTTTGAGGGCTGGGAAGAGGAGGCGTAGTGTGTTCGATCAGCCAATGCGCTGGGGGGGGCCGTTATGTTGCAGATCCATGGGCGATGGTTAGTTAGTACAGTGGGTTCCAGACCTGCTCGTCGGCGTTGTAGTTTCCGTCGTTGGTATGATTTGACCGTCCTCTCCAAGAGTTGCCCCGGCGGCAGACGCTCTTGTCTGAAGTGCTCCCCCGGTGTGCTCCTCGGCCGCCATCCTGCAGCAGCATGGAGTATGCAGCATCCGAGTAGGGGCAGGCGCCAAAGGGGTTGAGCAGGAGCAGGACGCTGCCGTGGAGGCTCGGGGGGAGGCCGGGGGGTGGTTCGGGGAGTCGAAGGTCTGGGGGGGGGGGGGGGGCAGCGGAGGAGGCGGAGGCTGAGGGCGGGCGGGGGCACTGAGCGGGAGGTGCAGGAGCAAGGCCGGGAGAAGTCCGGGGCCAGAGGGAGGGGGGGGGGGGGCGAGGGGGGGCGAGGGGGCGAGGGAGGGGTGGCGAGGGAGGCTCGGACGAGGCCAGGACGGGGATACACTCGGGTGGGGATACATCGAGAGCCTGTGATATCTGGCGGCTCTGGCCACCTGGGCTGCCGCCGGGGCCTGGTCAGGCTGCTCGCCGGTGTCGTCGCAGGAGCGCGAGGATCGGGAGCATCGGGATGGGAGCAGAATTAATAGTTGTGAGCGCCGACGCCAGATCCTGACCTTTTTGGATAAAGCTCGCTGTCGGTGACGCCGCGGACTCTCTCCATTTGAGGAAAACGTTGTCTGTTCTACAGCGGTCGCTGACTATTTGTGTGACGGCATGTGTTGCCCGAGTTTGCCGTCCCCATTTCGTGCTCCCCAGACAGGTGATGACGTGGACGAGAGGGGAAGGGGAGGATTGGAGGCAGTCCAATGAAGTTTGTGGAGACGGAGGAAGAGTTTGAGGGAGACGAGAAAGCCCCTATTGTCCCATGCGTTCGTCAGCTGGAGCAGGATGTTTAATACTTGTGCGATCCGTTTGTTGGATGTACACACGCATCGTACTTATTGCATTTACGCATCTAGTTAGGTTCGACTCATTCCGTCACCGTTCCTGAGTTGTGGGCCAGGTGCCTCTGGGATGCCGATTAGGGTCTCTCGGGATGCCTCTCGGAGGTTTCTTGGAGGCCTCTTCAGGATGCCCTTCGGGGGCTGTGTCGGGGCCTCTGGGAGCCTGGAGACACCCAGGGTGCCCTGGGTGTTTCTTAGGTGTCGATGGTGTTGCCATGGCAAGCGTGACGCTCCCACACCAAGAGTCCATGTACGCCCTGGGGTCTCAGGGTGGGGTTTCTTGATGAAGGTTCCTTGTGGTCGAGTTCCTGGTGTAAGCTGTGTGATGCCATCTGCAGCGGACCCCACGTCGGCACCCACGAGCTTAATAGGCCCTGGAAACAACAGTTCCCGCACCGTCCCCGTACCAAACATCAACGCACGTCCCGGGGTTCCAGGGCTGGGTTTCATGTGGCAGGCTTCTCGTGGTCGAGCTCCTGCTGTGCTGGGGGGCCTCCTGGAAGAGTCTGGGACTCCTGTTGTTTGTGTCTATGTATGTGTGTGTCCCTGGGCCCCTTCGATGAGGGAGGCCAAGAATTGTGGCATCTCGTGGCCCTGTTCGAGGGCAGCGTGGAGCCCTCTCGGGGCGTGCCAGGGAGGTGGCTCTTGAGCCGTCTTGGAGCCATCTTGAGCCTCACCGGGGAAGGTCTCGGAACCTCCTGGACCGTGCTGGCGGCTCTTGGGATCCTGTTGGCCCGTTTTGGGGCTCTCTGGACCCGGCAGAAATCACGCGATATACCTCCCAACTCATGCGGGTCGCCCCGTTAGACACGCGAGCGTGCCCACGAAATCCAGGGCTCGGAGCACTCAACGCTATAGATCGAGGACTTTCGGAGGACCTGATCACATTCCGCTCAGTAACTCGCGGTACGGTGGCGTGTACTGTTCCCGACACCCATAATCGATCGACTAGCGAAGCAGTCCATGTCCAGGAGCACATCAAAACATAGAAATAACAATTATCGCAGACATTCCGTCGCAGTCCGCACTTCGATTGTAGCTGGTGCAGGTCGCGAACACGTCCTTCCTTATGGACAAGATTCGCAGCGTTATCCACCAGGTGCGCGGCTTTCTTCTACGGGGTGGATCGGTCAGCCATGGGGGCTCCCCCCGTGTCCCATCGATCGTTTCCGTCCTCCGCGTTCACGTCCACCCCTGCGGTTTCCCTGCTTACCCTCTCTTCCTGCTCTTCCCTGTTTTGGCTGCCCTCCGAATCCGTGTCGCGCCCATCTCTCCCGCAGACCGCCCGACGCACGCACACGGCGGCAGTTATGCACGCGTCGCCAATCCGTGACTTACTTCGATGCTTCTCGGCGGCGAGCGAGAGGGGAAGTGCGAATGAGAAGGCCCTCTCAGAAGGCGGCGGGGCTTCTCAGAAGCCCTCGTGCCTTCTGAGAAGTCGTTTTTTGCCTGCGGGGAAGGCTCAAGAAGCCTTCTCAGAAGGCCGGGGGACTTCCGAGCCTTCTGAGAACGCCTTCTTCTCCTCGTTTCCCCCCCCGCTCGCCGCCAAGCTTCGATTGCGCGAGGGAGCGGGTCCTGGCAGAAGCGGGTCGTCCTGCTTCCCTGGAGCTTGCCCCCGAGAGGCCAGTTTGCCAACCTCCGAGGCGTTCTCTCTGACGGCCCCGGGGAGCCCCGGGGCAAGGGTCCCAGGAGCGCACGCTCCCTCAGGAGGGGCCCCTCCTCGTTGCGCCTCGGCCCCTGTGGAGCGGTCGTCGCCGACATTCGCAAGTCGCCTCTGGAGTTAAGTCGGGCGTGTCCCCTTACAGCAGGGATAATTCAAGAATAGTGTTTAAACAAATAGCCAGGTTTTCGTGCAAAATCCGCCTGTAGGGGGACATGCCCTACCTCACTCTGGAGTTCCCATGCGTTGCCATGGACTTGGGATTCGTTCGCAAGCATAGATCAAGGGGGCGGGGATCAGCGACGGGTCCCATTTCCATCGGAAAAATCACGGAGTTCCGCCGCCGAGCGAGGAGGCACCGGCCGCATTTTTGAGGAGGGCACCTCCCCCGATCCATGGAATTGGCGACCGCGCGCCAAATCTATGGATCGCTAATCCATGTCTGCGCGCCCTCGAGACTTGGAGACCAAGTTCGCCGCCCAGATCGCTGGGGCGGACATGCAGAGAATCAGCAAAGGGGGGGGCTCTCACACAGCGAAGCGGCCGCACGCCCGGGCCGACGCACGTTTTCCGATTTCCGATCCGACTTCCTCTTTCTGGAGGGTCCCAAAGGGGGTTCTTGGGGAGGGGGTTTTCCACAGACAGAGCCCCCCCGGGGCCTCGGAACCTCCTCAAAGCGGGGGGTGCGAAGCCCCTCGGGGACCCCTCCTGGAAGACCCCCCTCCCCCCAACAGAAGCCCTCTGGAACACCCGCTCGGCCAGACGGCGACGCCACGACGCCCGGGGAGCGGCCGCCGGCGCATGGCTTGGCATCGCTCGGACGTGTGCATTTGTTTCTCGGCGAGAACCATCGAGGAGCATCCTTTATCATTTGGCGAGAAAACCACGCACGAGACCGACAAAAACACAGGGAATGAACGCCCGAGCGATGGCGAGAGGGGGCCCCCTGCGGAGGGAGGCGCGGAGCCCCTGCGCGCGCGGGCGCCGCGTCCGCTGCCCCGCGACCACGAGGGCACCGCGGCCGAGCCTCGGCCGAGGCTCGGCCTGCGCCCCGCGAGGCCCTGCGACGGCGCCCGCGCCGTCGGCGGCCGCGCGTGTCTCAGGAGGGGAAGAAACACACAGACACAATTCATCGGCGACTCCCCAGAAAATATGGGAAACTATGGGAAGTGGGGGGGAAGACAGAAGCCCAGAAAATATGGGGGAATATGGGAATATTTTTATTTGTGTGTATTTATTCGTGTGTCCCAGGGCCCCTTCAGTGTAGGGGAACAAAGAGCGACACAAACATACAAACTCGGAGGTCCGCGCGGATTCCTCGGATCGGCGCTGGGGCCCCCGGCGGCGCCTCCGGCGCCGCCCCTGGCGCGCTCCGCGCGCCAGGGAGGGGGGTCCAGCGCCGATCCGAGGAATCCGCGCGGACCTCCGAGTTTGCATGTTTGTGTCGCTCTCTGTTCCCCTAGCGTGGCCTTCGGAGCGCGTGCGAGTGAACATCAGGCGGTGGCGAAGCGTGCTGGCTCGCCTGCAGGCCTGCCAAGCCATGCTCCAAGAACCTGTTCTGTGTTTTTTCGACGGAGTGCTCTCAGAACATTTCTGGCGGGGACCGCCTTGTTGAAGCACGTCGCGCGTATGTTCCAAGGGCACTGCTTCTGTTCTCAGGACAGTGTTGGGCTCTGAGAGCATGTCGTGGTAGGCCTACAGGAATGCCGGGACTGTCGGTCCCTACTCAAGAAGAATATATCGGCCCGGCCCTTGCGCCCGGCTTCTTGTCGCAGGGCCTTTTGCCCTTCTCGGACCCTCGCGGGCCTTGGGCCACGAAGGATTGCCCGCAGGCCCTGCCCGCAGGGCCCTGCGGCGCCCAGAGCTGATCGACGCAGGTCGCCGACAGCCAGTGTGAGTTCTCGGGTTGGAAGACTTACCAGCCTGGAACATATCCCTATCCCTATGCTGGGCACCTCCTCATCACGATGCCAATCTTAGGGATTCCCCTATTTTTTGAGGGCGAATCCCTAAGATTGTCATCGCCTTTTGGCCTGTCAATAGTAAGGATAGGGATACGTTCGAGGCTGGTAAAAGACGGGTCCCAAGGGAGGGGTCCAGATCCCTGGAGAAGGGCGAAGCTTGCGCCTGCAGCTGGCCCCGAAGCGTGCAGCGCGTGGCCTGCGGCGCTCTGACAGCCCGGATCCGGCGAGGGTGGAGCCGAATGCGAGCACGGCAGCCTCAGCTCGTTGGGGGACAGAACCCCCAACAGTGACACGTCGATTAGTGAATTGTCCGTTTTCGGTTCTCGAGAGGCCGTGGCCGCTATTTTCCAGGCTTGCGCACGCCAGGTTTGGGCCTCGGGTCGTTTTCACTAAACAACGTTTTACTAAAGGGGGGTCTGTCCATCCCCGATCAGCAGGCCTGCGGACAGCTGCGTGCGACGGGAGCGAAGGCGGAGGCTTGTGCGGCGGACGCAGCGTTGGAGATCGACGTCGGACGGGGCGGGGGCCAGAGGGGAACGGCTCGTGTCCTGGCTCGTTCTTGCGAGAGCGCCAGGTCGGTCCGCGGCGAGCTGGCGTAGGCGAGCGAGCAACGATCGACGATGAACAGGGCGACGGTCAGGACACAGGCAATAGCAGGAGCGTTGGGCAACGCAACAGATGCGCCGCATTTCTGACACGGGCTGCTCTGCTCCTCTACTGGGTTGGTGGGCTTGCTGCCGTATGTCGGGCAGCGGCGAGATTCGCACACCGTCTGTGCGGTAGCCGCGGCGCCGGGGAGTAGGTCGGGCATTTTGCAGCTGTTTGCTTGCACCACGCGAGTGTCGCGGCGTGTGGACAACAGCGCGGCCGTTGCTAGAGCTCTTCTTCAGGCCTGACTCGACAGAATGGCCGCGTGCGTGGGCTGCATACGAATCTTACGCCTTAGCGAATGACCTTCGACAGGCCCGCGCCACGGTCATGTCTTGCGGCTCGTGAGCCTAGTAGGGCTTACGTACGTCGGTCGATATTGGGTTTCACCTACGGCATTGCGTACATACTGGCATTGACAGTTCGTCGGGTTTGGCTCCGACACGCGATCGGGTTTTCAAGCCCAGGCATGGCGATGGAGAAGCATGGCGGTTTGTAGTTTCTTGCTGACAGTGCCCGGCTGAAAGTACGATTGTGCACCTTCGGGGAAGGATATCTTGCCAGCTACTTCGTCGAAGATTAGCTGGGTCAAGATTCAGGTGGATATCGGCTCCTGGCCAGGCGAGGAAGGCATTCGCCGTGCCCACACATATTTGGGTAACTTCAGGTCTGATGGTACAATACCCACCAGGACTCGAAGCGAGAACTGCGTTTCTCGTTTTGTGTTTCGCGAGGTCGGCAACCTGCGGACGTCCTCTCCACGAACATTCGCGAGTGAAGAGAACGAGGCGGAGAGGAAGAGCGTGAGAAGGGCTGAGGGGAGGACGAGCCAGAGACTGGGTCAGAGGGAGGAGAGCAGGCAGGAGGAGGGGGGCTGACACAGCTTGAGGGCCCAAGAGAGGAAGGAGACGGACCAGGACTTCGGACGAGGGGGACGCCACGAACGATGTGACGGAGCGAGGAACGGCCGGGAGCTGACGAGGAGGAGCGAGGAACGGGAGGCCACATGCCGTGCCTCTGACCCACCGCCTGCCGCGCGGCTGCCCCCCCCCCCCTCTCTCTCTCCCGCCAGAGGGAGGGTGCTCGCAGGCCCTCACCGGCATGCTGGTGGTGCCGAACGTCCTGAACATCAACTGGGCGGACCCCAGCAACGAC